TAATGAATTTCTGTTGTTAACCGCGGATACTCAAAATAATGTTAGTAGTGATAAATTCAATGATGTCTTCGGGTATATTAATATTTCTTACAAAGAAAATAGTAGAAAAATATGTAATGTTGACTTACATCATTTTGTACTAAAGGACTCGCGTCCCCAACGTTAGCAAATGCGCTAAAGTGATAAATTTGTCAGGTAACATTGCGTGTGGAGAATACATGATGGTGCAAATCATCCGAAATATTGTATGAGATTGAATTGGGGAGCTCCACGGGAAATTACCTAGTCACCTTGCTGCTAATGTGCGAATGAATGGTGTTTGTTCATTTAACTGGAGTAATTATATTCAAAGATATTGTTCTACAAAAAAATGCAAGGTATATACATAATTTATACAGTACTGAAGTATACAGAAATTAATCCTCTAGATTTAGATAGGGAATTGTTAGTTATGTAGAGTAATAACCTTATAGTTGGCAATGTATGTACTATGTCAGGTAGACCTCCACACGGTTCCTTTGAAAACCATCGTGGTAAATTACTATTTACCAAGATGGGCTAACTGACCTGACTTCATATTACATAAAAAATCCTCTATAGCGGTAACGTATGAGTGGTATGGTGGAGTTTACATGATAACGTGATGTCCATAGTGCTGTTCATGTTACCGTTGCATGCATGTACTATCAGGTGGATCATCAACTCGTTTACCATTCAATTACATAAACTGAACGATTAAACAAATAATAGGTTAATCTAGATGTAGAATTTTTGCAGATATTGTGTAACATACATATAAGTAAATACATAGAACTCCTTGAGACAGGTTTGCAAAATTTTAATAACTTACATTATCATAGAATTTCTGTTCGTAGATATTTACTATCTACTTGAAACTGTAGGATGTAGGAACGACATAGACGAATTTGTACGAAATTTAGCATAATAATAGCTTATGCGAGTATTCCGCTTTAATTCTGAATAATAGTATATTTCATGTATTTTAGAATTCCATACAACCTTATTGTTGTGCCGACTATATGTCTGTCTGTCAAGGGCCACGGGCTTCTAAACTTATTAATTTACATAACAATGTAATACTGCGGACTGAGTATTCTTGCAAATGCAGTTGCTATCAAGTAGCAAAAGGTCGTGATAAATGATTAATTAAATACACTAATTCAAAAAACCAGTCTCTATATGGAGGCAACAAGTGCTAACTGAGATTCGAGATAGCTTCACGAATAAAATAACTCTATTAAATCGAGTTGGTAACGCGTCTGCATACTTAATGAACAATTTATTTGTTATTAACGTTTAACTCTCTAAGGATTCTACGCGGTATACGACTGTATTTAGATAAAATAATATCGTGATTGGTACTATCAATCAATGCTTTTAATTGGAAATGTTACTTTCTAATAATTTATCAATCCACTGATAAATCAAGACTAAGACAAAAAAATTCTTGAAACCTTATGCTAATTATTTAGTATGTAGAAATAAGGAAAAAGGACAAGAACACCAAATTAGTTCAATAATTAAAATGTACAGTTGTGAAAAATTTGATGTTTTGTGGAAATTTTTGAAGATGTTTGATGTTTGGGTTCTGTAGGATAAACCATTGACCCTACACTAATGTAATTAATTATATAAATTCTTTTTTCAAGCGTTTGGGGGTGAAGAAGCAATGAAGAAGATTAATAGAAACAAAAGTATTTTGTAATAACTAGCTATTACTCGCAATTTAGTTTGCTTTTTTTTTACATTACAGATATTCGTTCTCATGATACATTCTTACCTCGTATTAAATTTAATTAGTATTCACTCAGCCGTTCAGCCGTAAAAAGGTAACAAACAGACATATTGTAGAATTAATACTATTCTTACGGAAATATAATAGTAATAGTTATTTTATGTATGTACACAGCTATGTACTGTTACTAAAATAACTATTACTAACTTGAAGAAATACACAATTGATATTTTTTTTAATATAATGTTATATGTTGTCAGGGAATTACGTGTCACGAGTGAGATAGTTAGTCCCTCTATCTCACTCGTGGTTTTAATGCAAAGCAATTAAATTAGTTAACGATTAGAGGTTGTTTAATGCAATTTATTTATTTATTTTAATATCCAGAAATAGAAAAACTTCTGTTTTTATTTTTATCTATGTATACATTATGTACGTATTTACAAAAAAAAATCTAGGTATTTATATCAGTTGTTTAGTACCTATAACACTAGCTCTGCTTAGTGTGGGTTTAGATGGCGTTGTGTTAATTATCTAGGATTATTTATTGTTATTATTATTTATTTCAATATGTTGTACAAAGAATGGCTGCTTCATCTATGTCCGACTATTGGAATATGGAATATACAAAGTAAGTTTGGAAGTAGATTGCATTTGTCGAATGCACTTGGCAAAGCATTTTGCTGACCGCGGCATGGCATGCATAACCAAGTACTCGGGAAAACAAGTTCACAGAAACAGAATATATTTGCTTAACCATATTTCAGATATTTGTAAGACTAAATTTACTAGTCTGTTGGTATTTTCACTGATACTTTTACTTGGTTAAGTTTAAATTTATTTTTATGTCGAAGGAGAGACTCTAAAGGATTAATACAGTATTATGTGTCCTAATATACATAAGTTTCTAGCTTGATATAATAGAGCGAGTCTTATGTCCTGACTATGATCTTTCTAGTAGTATGAAGACGGTATATGAATAAAAATACTAACGGAGAGGGTAGACTATTTGTTTGTTCATAATAATTCGTTTACAAACATAAATCGTGCTATAAATTGCCTTAGTGACTAACGAGCATGGAAAAACCTGAAATTTCAGGAGTTCATTATATTTGTAACCACCGTTAGTATCCTGTTATATAAAATGTACGATTCTGGTGGTAGTTTTTTAATGAGCGTTCTAGCAAAGGAATGACATCACATAAATATTTTAGATGATATGATAAATTTTGTATGTAAATGTATACTCAAAATCCTTGAAATATTTTCAACTGCCTAAGCGTTATTACTACATATTCATACAGTATAGCAGGAGTTACATATAAATTTCGCTGCTCGTAAAACACCTATTGAGATTTTTACAGCTCTCTTTTGCTTATTAGTAAGCCCTCTTGAAGAGCCTATTGGGTGTCGTTTATGCATTTATGTTTATGTAAGGTTGACATAAAAAATAACAACTTTAGTGTAAATAGCTTAAAATATATACCATATTTCTTAGTACCATTTTCTGACATAAAATATAGCTACGTTCCTCCGCGTGATAAAATCCATCATGGTAAATATAATTAAAAGTAACAATAAACTATTATAGACGTACGGACTTTCGTATTTATAATATTAGTATGCATGGATTTTAAAAACATTATACAATTTTATGTATTTTATTACTTAATACCGTACATTATTTATCAAATATTAAAAAGTGTTATTATATACTAAAACGTCCTATTTAATAGTGTATATTCTTGTTATTTATTGTAAAGTTTTTATGAAAATTCAACTAAATAATCATATTTACCCGAGATACTGCTCCTAGGCATAAAGTCAGTATTAACTATAAAAAAGTTTTTATACTTTAGGATACATTCATAACCTTTGTTAAGAAAGTTGTAAAAACCACGAGTCAGATTGATAGATGTATAAATAGATACAGGACACTAAAAAATAATGTAAATAAATTTATGTTAATATTATTTGGTTAAAAATTATGTGTGTTCAGTAATACACATACACAATAAAACATGTTAGTTCATAAAGAACCTGTAGAAATTGCTGTACTGAAGATAATTTGTTATGGCATAATGATATTGTTATTTCTATACTTTACGCGATTTTTAAAATACATGTCAAATAAGAGATATTGTTTAGAAAATCGGAACACCAAGAATTTAGCGCGGTCCAGTCCAATAACGTGTTCACATAAAGCTAGAACCCATACACCGACTAAAACAGAAACGGCCAAGGACGATAAGAAGTCTAAAAGAAATAGGAGACGACGCCACAATAAATATACGGCAGAACAGTGGCTTCCTAGACGAGACCCTTACCATAGCCACTATGTTGAATACGAATGAAAAAGAAAGCTGATGTAAAAGTTACCGACTTCGAAACTCGTCCCTTACAACGTCAGCCGAAATGTGTTGTGTATATTCTTGTTCAAAATTTACATGTTTATCATCTGCGTCCAAGGCGAATATTGTCGTTTTTTTGTGAACTTTAGCGTAAGCAATTAAAACTTTTTTAAAGAGCATTCTTTTTTTGTATTCCCAGATATTCAATTGAAAATCTTAAAACATAGTACATTTATTAGGTAGTATAAAACTTGTTATAGTTTCATATTACACTGAATTTTTAACTGAATTCATATATTATAGTAATTTTGCTATACATACAATTCTAAAAAAGTATTAAACCTGAAAAGAAGGTTCATACTTTTTAGCCTAGAAACAAGCAGTTTCGAAGACTCAATTATTTTTTATGTAATTTCAGCATCTATTCTTTAAAACCAGACATAGCTTGCTAAGAAAGCAGCTTTGTAGCAGAATTAGATGAGACAACGGTTAATCCAAACATGTATGTACAATATATCATTTTACCTATATCTATATATATAATAAAAATATAATTGGTCGCAGTATGTATATGAAATATATAAGTGAACTATTGTTGGCGCACTATAGGTATAAGGAGCTAATAATAATAATTAACCTTAATAGAAGCCAAAATAATTATTGTTATAGTTTTTATCTATTTGCCTGTTGCTTTAGTGCTTTTTTATCTCAAACAGCTCAACTGATTTACGTAAGATTTTCACTAATTATTGTGATAAGCTTCCCTTAGGTACGAATCGCAGTTTCTCTAGTTTATCGTATAGTAGAGTAAGATTTTAGTTTTTACACAACCCTCAGCAACAGTTGGTAAAAATATACGTTGCTACTACGATGACTAAATTTACATCAACAAAATGAGATTTAAGTTCATAAAGTTGTCGCAGTGTGTAGTCGAAGAAAGCCAAGCGTTCTTAATTACAGCGGACTATTTTACGGCATGTTACTCAAGGTAATTAGCGTCTACCAAGGAATTAAAAAAATCTACATGCAATGTGAAAATTCTTGCTTATCGCGAAATATGATATACTTGCACTACTAAATCTTTAAACTTTAATATTCAAATGTTTAATATTACTCTACATTGCTAGGCCCTATTACTAAAATAATTTACTAGAGCCTATTATTAAAACGCCGACTGAAGTGAGTGTGTACGCTGACGGGGCACCAGAAAGTTAATTAATATGACGAAGAAGTCAGGTCAGCTGACCCATAGTTATGAATTCATAAGGAATTAGTTCCATCACTATTACATTTATAGTATCCAAGTAAAGAAGATACACTTAATCATATCTTCTCCATCAGCTCATCGATTCTATAATTATTATACAGTAATCGCCCTCTCCATTGTCTTCATCTTGTGCTTTCAACTCACGTCCTTAAAGATTCTTCGCTTGTTGTGACATGTTTTAATAAGACATTTCACAATAGGCAATGCTATTATCTACAGCTTAGGATCCCAATTTATTTGTACGATACTGCAGCTGAAATATTCAGCGAGATTCGTTTTACTTTGCGGCATATTTCTGCTTTTATCACTAATAAAAGTGGAATTATGTGTTGCATTCTTTCAATTGATAATTTATATTTGTTGATATTCCGTCGCTTCTCGTTTTAACTATTGTAAGAACATTATCATCGCAATTACATTTAGAACGATTCTGTGATACAATAAGAAGTACATTAATTATTTTATAATTTAATTGTTAAAATAAGAAATCAGTATTGACTTTCTATCGATTAAACATCTATTTCCTAAGATAATAATTAGAATTCGGTAATAAATACTATGGAACTAATACAATATAGGGGAGACCGGGTACAAAAGTAACGGTAGGTCGAAAGTAACAAATGGTCTGTAGGTTTCTCCAATAGCCATACGCCACTTCGCTACGTAAGGTGTTTGCTGACTGCGCCGCCCCCCGCTTACATTCAGTCGCCGCGCGCGCCACGCGCTTTTAGGTTGTGTGAGAGGACGCTACGTGATTTCACAAATCAAAAGTAAGTTTTTTAACGTTTTCTTATTTAATGTTTTCGTAGTCTGAAAAGGATGATACCAATATGAACATGTGCATATTAATTCTTGATTAGATTGATTACACACTGTTTTCATTCGTTTTTATCTATCACGTTCCCTTTTAAGGTTATCTTTCATGTTTCAACAAAAATATGGTCGGGTACAAAAGTAACATATTCTATGGGTACACAAGTAACATGTTACTTTTGTCCCCGTATTGATTGATTTATTTAAAACTGTTATGTGTGTATTTTTTTCTACAGAATGCCGCGACAACGCATAAGGACTACCACACGAGGAACTACTGACATGGAAGTGTACCGAAAAGCAGCTGAAGAACATGCCAAAGATGGTACAAAAATTAGATCCCTGGCAAAAAAATATAATGTTTGTCATGTAACTTTATACAGATATATAAAAAAGATAAAAGCAGGAAATACTAGCGCAATTGTGGGCTACCGTTGCGTCAACCGTGTGTTTAATATTGATGAGGAAAAATGTCTTCAGGACTATTTGATCGAATGCTCTGGAGTTTACTTTGGGTTGTCTCCACCTGAAGTACGAAAATTGGCATATGAGTTGGCGATAAAAAACGGAAAATCATTTCCTGAAAAGTGGCACGATACACAAATGGCTGGTAAGGAATGGTTGGCGGGTTTTTTAAAGCGACATCCGAGCCTCTCTTTGAGATGTCCGCAAGCAACAAGCCTGTCGCGGGCCTCCAGTTTCAATGAACATAACGTGAGTAAGTTTTATGATAACCTTGCTAATGTAATGGATAGGTATAAATTTGAGCCAAACGATATCTGGAATATGGATGAGACAGGGGTGACCACTGTCCAAAAACCTAGTAAAAATCAAAAAGGAGTTAAACAAGTAGGCGCAGTAACCTCAGCAGAACGTGGGAGATTAGTAACTGTTGCTATAGCGATTAATGCTCAAGGAGGACACATACCTCCTTTTTTTGTATTCCCATTGAAGCGATACCAAGACCACATGATACGTGAAGGTCCTGTTGGTTGTGCCGGAGCTGGCAATGCTAGTGGATGGATGCAGGAAGCAGAATTTTTACTATTTCTAGAACACTTCAAAAAACAAGTCAAGCCGACAGTAGATCAAAAATGCTTGTTACTGCTCGACAACCATGCATCACATATATCTATAGCTCTAGATTTTGTAAAAAGAATGGAATAGTACTGCTGTCGTTTCCACCCCATTTCAAGCACACACTACAGCCGTTAGATAGATCAATATATGGACCATTCAAAAAAATGATAAACACTGCTACAGACAACTGGATGCGAAATCATCCTGGGCAGACAATGACTATCCATTACATTCCTGGGATTGTTAATGAAGCATTTCCTCTTTCTGTCACTGATCGAAATGCAATTGCTGGATTTGCCTGTACCGGTATAAGTCCATTTAACAGGAACATTTTTACTGCTGTCGATTATGCACCATCATCTGTCACTGACCGGCCTTTACAAGTTAACAATGAAATTCCACCAAATGATCAGTTGACCAATTTTGACGCAATATCCTCCATTCAAGTTGATCCAGATACTCTAGTAGATAATATTCCACCATCGAGTGACCGGACTGTCCAGCGTACAATTAGCGATGATATCTCTCAAAGATCCAACTCGCCAGTACCAGGACCTACTACAACAAGCAAATTCTTCTCAACCATTTGATTTCACTCCTAAAGATCTTAGACCTTTACCACAAGCGGGTCCGAGAACTACAACAAATAAAGGACGTAAAAAACGTAAGACAGCAATATTGACGGATACGCCCGAAAAAAACGCAATTGAAGAAGAATACCAACAAAGAAATAAAGCCAAGAAAATGGTTTTACAACCACATACTGGAAATGGCAAGAGGAAGATGACATCTACGAAAGGAAAGGGAAAAGGAAAAAAGACAAAGAACGAAGCTAAAGACAAGGAAAATAAATCTGACGACGAAGATTGCTTCTGTCTCGTTTGTTTAGAAACTTTTAGCAACAGTAAACGAAATGAGCAGTGGATACAATGTACCCAATGTAAAATGTGGTCACATGTTGAATGCGTCAACGATGATGCAAATTATGTGTGCCATAATTGTGAGTCTGACTAAAAAACTAATGCTAATTAGTCTGTTTATAAAAAAAATATTACTATATAATAATTGATCTCATTACTTAAAGTAAGAATAATTTGTTTTGTTTTCTTGAAACATTTTTGAGCATTTAAAGTGTAAATGTTTACCTGTGTTATTAATACAAAGTCTACTAATAAATAATTTATCGATTTAATATGTATATTACATTCATTACAAACCCCTTTGTCCAGTTACTTTCGACCCACAACGTGTTACTTTCGGCCTGCCTACGTGGTCGGAAGTAACAACTGACGAATTTTTTTGAAGTCTCTGTGATTCATATAAAATACACAATAAAATGATAAATCAAGAGACTAATGTAAAGAATATAAACGGAATTTATTTATGGCTATATTAATTTTATTAAAATAATTACACCTAACTAGAAACCAAGGTAAAAGTGCAAAATGTTACTTTTGTACCCGGTCTCCCCTATTTTGAATAATTATAGAACCAATTGTGTAATTATGCAATTATGAATAGGAAATCCCCTTTTGTATAATAATTATGTAATACAGGAAATTTTAATAGTAGTAAATGTGTATATTTTATTAGAAGACAATTTCTGACAGATGTCTTTTCACACAGTTCTAACAATGTGCTATTTTCTACCAATACGATACGATTGATTCCTATTCACGAATAGAAATTGATCATATAGCACTTACTAAAATTAGATAATTCACGTGACACTGAATAAATAAGATTTCCGTTTACAATAAAAACGTTTCTATAGTTAATGGATTCTATATAAATAAGTTAATTTTGCTATTTTATATGGTCGAAGTATATAATGAAAACTCTCAACAATTTTTTGAAAGAAATTGCAGGAAGTTCTGTAATAATATAAGTAATTATAACTGAACTAGCAGGCTCTTACCAGAATAGGCTGGACAGGAAGCATGGACAGGGAGTGAACACAAGCAGGAATACAAGGTGAGTATTGATGTACGTCAGTAACGGGAATCTTACAAGTCCCAGGAACTGCAAAAAGTTCCACCCTTTGGCACACGATGGACCCGGCTCTGACATGGTGAAACAATGGAATGCTAAGAATCTTATATACATAGATATAATAATATTATAATAATTGAAATTTTAGATTGTAATTAATTTTACATATTGTTTTTAAATTTAAAACAATGTAACCAATCATATAATATATTATTGTATTATGGTATATTATACCTCCATTTTTTTTCGGAATAAAAATAATTATAGTCTGTATTTATTTGAAGTACATAATCATATATGTATTTTAACATACAAAGAATGCTATTGAATTGACAGACTTTATAAAATTGGTGCAATAATAATGCCACCATCCATAGTACTATATAAAATATTTAATACATATAATATAATATAAAAATAAAAAAAATATTTTATATATCTAAACACAAGCTTTATTAAGTTTGGGACGTTGTAGATAATTTGTACGTATTATACAAGATTATTATTATATATTATAGACGCTGTAAAATTTTTTAAAGAGTTTTTATACCATTATATTTATAAACTTTGTTAAGAAAGTTGTACAAAATACGTCAAATTGACAAATCTATTAATAGAAACAGGATACTCTAAAAATATAATGTAAGTAAATTTTAGTGAATTTTATTTGGTTGGAAATTATATGTGTTTAGAATACAGATATATAAAAGATGTTAGTTCACAAAGAACCTGATGAAATTACTGTACAGAAGATCATTTGTTATGGCACAATAATGTTGTTATGGGTATACTTCATGCGGTTTTTAAAATACATGTCAAATAGGAGTTATTGTGTGGAAGATCGTAACAACAAGAATGTTGCCAAGTTTCGTCCAACAACGTGTTCATATAAAGATAGAACTCATTCACCGGCTAAACCTGATATAGCCAAAGACGATAAAAAGTCTAAAAAAAATAGGCGACGACGCCATCACAAAAATACTGCAGAACAGTGGCTTCCTAGGCGAGACCCCTACCACTATGCTGACTATGAATAAAGAAAGAAAGCTGATGTAAAAGATTTCCACTTCGAATCTCGCCTGTTTCAGCGTCAGCCGAATTGTGTTGAATACATTCTTGGAGAAAATTTACATATTTATCATCTGTGTCCAATTAAAACTTTTTAAGCAGCAAACTTGTTTTGCATTTGGATATTCAATTTACTAATTTTAAATATTTGTATAGTTTTATTATATTACATAGAATTTTCAATTTCAGTTCAAGAACTAAGACATTTATGTAATTTCAATACTTTATCTCTTCGTTTAATCCGGAACATAGTTTGCAAAGCAAGCAGCTTGGTAGCACAACTAGATGAGACAGAGGTACCCATACAAACGACTTACAAAATCTCCCTAATGTATATATAACGCAAATGTAACTTATGTTTGTTGTAAATAAAGATAGATAAGAAAAAATATTATTGGTGAAATACCTTAATAAAAGCCAATAAATATTGTTACAACTTTTTTCTATTTGTGCGCGTCTGTCACTGAAACAGCATAACCAATTTTAATGCAACTTTTAGTAACTTATTGTGGTAAACTTCACTTAAAAATGTTAGTTTTATTCAAATCGATTTACAAACAAACAAGAAAGTTATACGGCTACGAACTAGCGGCCTCGCTAGTTTCTGTTATATTAAGATTTTAGTATTCTCACGTTCCGTAGCAACAGTTGGCAAAAATATACGTTGCGAGCTAATGTACGACGACTAAATTTACATCCACAAAATGAGATTTAAGTTCATAAAGCTGCCGCGGTGCATAGTCGAAGAAAGTCGAGCGTTCTTAATTGCGGTGGACTATTTTGCGGTATGTTACTTAAGGTAATTAGCTTCTACCGAGGAGTTAAAAAGTCTACATGCATTGCAGATGTGAAAATTCTTGGTTATCGCGAAATCTTATTATTAATATTATAAACGTCAAAATTTGTAAGTATGATGATGGATGGATGAAGGATGGATATTTGTTAGTCTTTCACGCAAAAACTACTGAAAGGATTTTAATGAAACTTCACAATGGCATAACTTTTACATCAGAATAACACATAAGCCATAAATTTCATGTGGGTGAAACCGCAGGCACAGCTAGTACTGGTACTCCTAAATCTTTAAATATTAATAGTTAATAGTTTGATTAATTTAATATTACTTCACTAGATGATAAACTACTAGAGCCGGTTACTAAAATAGCAAAGATGATCATGGTATTGTGCATCTGCCTGTTCAGTGGTGATAGGACATTAGGAAGTTGATAGTATGAGGATGTGATAAGATCAGTTAGCCCATAGTGCCGGTATTACCAGGGGTGACCACATGAAAATCGATCTAACTATCACTAGAGTCCATTACTAACAATATCCTCCTAACTTCAAATAGGATCTAGCTACATCCCTGTGGTATTAAGGTTTATAAGTATACACAATTTACGCACATTAAAATGATAGGAGTTTATATGTCTCTTTAATGATATACATATTTATACTATTCCATCTAATCATTCTTCTTCTTATTAAATGAAGAAGATACAATTTGTCATATTTTCTCCATCAGTTACGATTCAACAATTATTATTCAGTAATTGCCTTCTCTAATGTCTTCGTCTTGAGCTTTTAACTCACGTTCTTAAAGATTCTTCGCTTGTTGTGACATGTTTTAATAAGACATTTCACAATAGCAATGCTATTATCTACAGCTTACGATCACAATTTATCTGTACGATATTGCAGCTGAAATATTCAACGAGATTAGTTTTGTTTTGTTGCATATTTCTATTACTTATAAAAATGGAATTGTATTCCATTTCTTGGATTTTTGTATTTTATATTTTTTTATTGATTTCGTCGCTTACTATTATAACCTTTGTACCAATACAATTTTAACATTGAGTGATTCAATAAAAAGGTATTGATTGTTTTCTAATTTAATTTTCAAAGTTAGGAATCAGTATTGATTTTTCCTTATTTTAAACATCTATTTCTTAAGATAATAAATATACTTCAATAATAAATACGTAAAATTATACAAAGAAGGTTTACGTCAAATGTTTGTATGTCTACATACAAATGATACAGTTGAACTCCACACGATACCGATACTTTAAAATAATTAATATTATATTAACTTTTAAATTAATTAACACTTGATATACATATTAAAAATATATTTCTTGACCTCACAAGTAGAAATAAACGAGATTATTTTTGATATAAATTGATCAAAACTAATTTTTTATCACGTTCAAATTTAAATTTACAACTTTTGGACTCTAGAAAATCACACGCCTTTACGCTCTGACTCTTTACATGAACAGAGGTTTAAAATAATTACTAAATGACACTAATATGGATTCCATACTTAACTAGCTTAACTTGTCTGGGTACTATAGTTTTTGCAACACTGCTTAGTTGCCTAGTTACAATTGCAAGACGTTGCGGTCACCGGCCGTCTACCACAACCGCAGTCTGTTCGTGACACCGGCTACGGAACAGGCTTACTATGTTTGGAAGGAGCCGATACTGTGTTCGGGGGTTATAGGGTTGTCACAGAACTTTTCATAGTTTTATTTACTATACTGAAAATTAGGGTTTATACATATGTATCAAACATTATAGCGTACAATGATTACCATAACTAACGGGCTACTCGAATCAATACTCTAATAGACTACTACTATTGAGTAAAAACAATAAATGTATGACTAGGGCCCTCACTGGATACTGCAAGACCATGGCGAAATCACTTAACATCAATTTTCAGATTTTGCCAAGCATAAGAGGAAACACCACTGCATATCCTATGTGGTTGTAGCTCTCTCATGTACAAACGAAGTATCCTCCTTTAGAATGTATATATACACTACATCCTGGGGAGATAAAAACCATCGCTCCTAAGAATATCCTTTAATTTTGTCCTCAGGGGTCTAGGTAGCGAACTTTGAATAGGGGCGAGCACAATAGAGCACAGGCCGCAGTGTTACATGCCTTAGCACTTGACAATAGCCCAAACCTCCCAATAAAAAAAAAACACGATTACGATTTCTATATATATATTTTTAATATTGATATTGCATATATCATATTTATAATATAAGAAAATATATTATTAATATAAAAAGATTTCTGTATTTGTTCTCCACATGAACTTTATAAGCACAAAATTACGCTATACTCCATCCGCTTTATTTCTGTAGATAAGAGTACAAAGTTTAAGCCTGAGATAACACTACTGTAGTTTCTTATCCAAATTAAATAGATACCTACTCCTAATATTACTCACAGTTAGTAGTATAATTACTGGTCATATAAATTCTTTAATCTTGTTTTGGATTCTATAGAAATTTTATCCAACTTTTAGTAATACCAGAAGCCCATTTTTTTTCAACAAGCAACCTAACCTAATAAAGTATGTAATGAAAAAGAATATTTTATTTATTCTTAAACTAATGACATAAATATATATCGCAAAAATAATCAAAATCAGTCGATAATTGTTTCTAACGTAACATACACCAAAATGCTGTTAAATTCATAACGTTTTCATTTTTGTAGACCGTTGAAACTATACTTAAAATAAAACTTTATTTATTTTAACAAGAGATGCCAACTATGTTAATTAAATTTCATAATTGTAACAATGTAGTTCAGAGTAATCAAAAAATTACCAACCTTAATAATATCAGTGTGAAGATAATTTACTTAATTCAATGTTGTCTCAGGAAATTTCTTCTAGGCGAAAGTTGCTCAGGTGCTCTCTGTTTAATATTTATTTAACTCAATTAAATGTCTATTTGTATGTATTGAAATATATTAAATCAGTTCTTGTCAATGCCAGTCTGACCCCGAACTAACTCGGTTTCTAATCTATCTTTCCAAGAATATTAATCTTAGGTTAGGTACTTAGTTAGTTTGCTTTGACTACGATAAGAAAATGCCCGCATAACTCAGTAAATTAACTATGTTATATTTATTACCTGCCCTTTCAATTTAGTGTTCATATTTATGTATAAAAAAGAAGTGTTTTCTTTTATACATAGGTACATATGTACCCTCATGCCTGTTACCCCAGATGATATAGTCAGACTATAGTCAACTATCAACTAGCAACACTTGACTAGTTCAAGGCAAGTTTATCGGCAACTCTCAAATTAATTTTTGGATTGATATCGATGTTTCCTTCACGGGAATGACCGTATTTTATTATCGAGTACATATGTCTATCCAAGAAAGTGGATCAAGTAACAGCTAGATCTATAGTCTAACCAATAGCATGTTACATAAGTAATACTGACATGCGTTTTAAAAAAGCGCTCTAGTTAAGAGATTTTTATATATTTGTTTAAATATCTTTAATGCACACAGTAATAGCATATTTGGCGGCCTTAACACCACCGCGGTATTTTCTAACAGTCAACCAATATCAATATCATCGAAAATATATAATCAAAAATGTAATGATAAAAAAAGGAAAATTAAAATATGAATAATTCGTTTAATATATGAAAGAGAATACATAACAAATAGTCTGACATTCAAGGCACAGAAAAGAAGAAAAAAATCCTTTTCTTTAAGTTGGTAAAATGTTAAAGATAATTCAAATATACTTGGAAATAACTAAATAAGTCATCATTTTACATGATAAACATAAACATAAGTACCAAAATATATGTAAATTGATATTGATATATTATTATTATTATTATACATATATTGATACATGTGGTATACATATATACGAGAAAAGAAAATTTAATTTAAATACCGACTATTTTATAAGTATTATTCTATTGCAGTGCGTCGAGAATCTATATTTTATAGTATCTAGTTTCAATAATAACTTCAGTTCGCAGTTTTTTGCTTTAGGGCTTTTCGCCAATGTCAAATAAATAAAAAGTATGTAATATTTAAAATTTGTGTATATTTTGAATATATATTATATTTATATAACATAAATATTATATTGTACATAGATTTTGTTTAGTTATTTATATATTATAATATTATTATCACAAATTTTCACTATCACTGCCTTACAACGCTTTCTAGTTCTACCCAAAGGTTAGCTGGTAGAGAATGCCATATGACATTAACCTCGCCCCTTGTGCACTCTCTATTGTGCAATAAAGAGTAAAAAAAATATTCAGATTATTCATACATTTTTTATTACTATTTGACTATAGAATATATAGCGTTCAACATTTAAAATATCACCCCAGGAAGTAATACCACCACTGAAGTGAACGGCTTGTTACAGCCGTTATCGCAATATCGTCGGGCAGACGACCGTTAGTAGAATTGTTACAATTTGTAATCGGAACACAATTTGCATAACAAACACGCTGCCACCCGAAATCACATGAACTCCCATTCCTTAGATAAAATAAAATATATCGCTCTGTCGTTGGTACATACTTTGATCAGTGAACAAACATAACAAAAGTGGTATATATTTAACAAACAGAAAACATGCCAAACTTTATTGATCCTTTTTAAATGAATATAGTTCCATATAATAGTTAAAATAACTTGAATTATTCCAGACAGTCCCATAAAAAACAATTTTCAATAATCTTGATGTCAGTATAAGACCCATGACCATGTATAATGTCTCAAAAACAGAATTATCTTCATTTGTAGCAATTATTGAAATTGAACTGATCAAGCAATAATTTTTATTTGAAACAATTTGAAATTGATAACATTCTAATCATAAATATTGTTGTTGTCTGTCACAATGTTTATTTGATATTAAAGTTCTGTATACAAAAAATATATAATAAAATTCTTTAGAAAAATACAATATATGAAGTATAAAAGTATATGGCCAGTACGTCAGCAACATGGCGCCCCGCGGTGTGAGCACCGGTTTAGTTTGAGCTGACATGCTGGCGGTCTAGTAGAGGAACCAACTTTCGGGCTGGGCGCTTGAGGATACCTCCTTTGGTGGCGACCTCTGCCACACGGATCGTTTTGTCGGGACCGAGGAATGTTTTTAAGATACGGCCCCGTGGCCATGAACCGCGCGGAAGGTTGCCGTCGGCAATGAGAACCGGGTCTCCGACTTTAAATTCTGGTTTTTCTCCTGGTCGTCTCGGAATCAGTGTGGGGAGGTATTCCGTCAACCGTCTAGCCCAAAAGTGGTCAGCAAGACGAAGGCCCTTTTTCCAATTTACTCGACGGATAAGGTCGCGTTCATCCATCTCTCCGAATGATTGGTGGGGAGAGGAGCAACCAATTAGAAAATGAAATGGCGTTATACTTTCTTCGACATTAGGGTCTACGGAGACGTGGGTGAGTGGCCTTGAATTTATTAAGGCTTCGGCTTCTAGGAGGAGTGTGTGTAGAACCTCTTCTCGTGGGGATTTTTCTTTTGGTGTTGCAGAGAGGGCTGTCTTTACGCTTCGGAGCAACCTCTCCCAGCATCCGCCCATAAAGGGTGCCCCAGGTGGAATGAAGTGCCACTGGATTCTTGCGCAGCAGCGGTGACCACGTCGTCATGGTAGAGTTGTCTCAGTGTATTATTTGCTCCGACGAAGGCTGTCCCGTTGTCTGAGTAAATTCTAATTGGGCATTGGTCTTGATATAAAGCGACGTAGAGCCATGATTGCCGCATCCGAGGATAAGCTGCCAACAATTTCTAGGTGGATGGCTCGTACTGTCAGGCAAGTGAAGAGTGCCACATAGCGTTTTTCGGTTCGTCGGCCAATGGATACAGTAACTGGCCCGAAATAATCTAGCCCAACAAAGGAGAATGGGCGTACGCTATGAGCCATCCGTTCTGCAAGTAGATCACCGAAAGATGGGGTCGGTGGGTTCTTTTACGAAGGTGACACATCATGCATTCGTTAGCGACTTTCTTTACGGCTGGACGTATACCGAAGATGAGTTGAGGAGACGAGTTCTGCCGTAATTCGTTGACAATTAATTCTGTGTTCGCATGTGCTGCTCTGTTGTGATGGTATTTTATTAGAAGTTTTACGATGGGATGCTTGCCGTCGAGCACAATGGGGTTGCTTGTGGTGATTGAACCCGCACAGGCTCTTGTCCTCCCTGCTAATTTTAATATTTGGGAATCGTCCAAGGTGACAGCTAGCCGTCTCAAACGACTTCTAGAAGGCAAGGGCTTTTCGGCTTTAATAAGGCGACGTTCTTCTCCAAAGGAGTCTAGTTGGGAACGCAAGAGTAAGCGGAGTTCTGATGCGACTAGATCTGAGGCTTGTAGCCGTCGAGAAGGGGCTTCGTCAACCCTATTCCCTATCTTACGAAACAATAAATGTATAAAAAACTTAGCAGCTAGAGCAACAGTAGCTGTAGCGTGAACTAGACGTAACCAATTACTGAAACGACAGTGATTAGCTACTACTGGGGATAGTTCCGGAGAATTATCTGTTGTTAGTGCAACTAGCTCTCGATCACATTTCATTTCTTCGGGGCCTAGTCGCACATTTGTGGAAGGTTCCTCAGGCCATTCATTTTGACCGAGTAATAGAAAGGGTGGCCCGGAGAACCATCGTGAAATTTCGAATTTTGATTGTGGCCTCGTAGCGTCGTCAGCAACATTCAGATGAGTTGGAACATATTTCCAACAAGAAATGTCTGTGAGTTCTAAAATTTCTCCAACCCGATGTGAAACGAATACTTTAAAATTGCGAGCATCACTACGAAGCCATTTGAGAACTGTCAAAGAATCTGACCAAAGGAAAATTTTGACAGGCTTATGTTTATGAGCCTCTATTAAATATTTACAAAAACGAGCAGCGATCAGAGCTGCCTGGAGCTCTAATTTAGGTATGGAGGCTGGCTTTAGAGGAGCTAACCTCGCTTTTCCACCAATAAGGCTTATTTTGCAATCGTTGGGCGTTATGAAACGCCAATACGCTACACAGGAGTATGCGTATTCGCTAGCATCAGCAAAGACATGGAGTTGTTTTTCCGTCCACTCACATGTTGTGTAGCAGCGTGGAATAGAAGTTTGGCGGAGATTTGATAGGTGCTCAAACCAATGTTTCCATTTTAATAGAATTTCGGATGGTAAGTGATCGTCCCAGTTGATACCGAGCCTCCAGGTTTGTTGAAAAAGAATTCGACCTCTTATGACAATAGGAGCCAAAAAGCCTAGAGGGTCATATACTTGCATTAGTAATGATAGGACATGGCGCTTAGTCCACTTAGAAGACTCATGGATAGGGGGTAAACTTCGCAAAAGGCCTAGAGAGTCATCAACGATGTTCCAAGACACTCCGAGAATTTTATGGTTTGGAGCATTGTTTGCAAGATTTACCTCTAAGATGTTTGCGGCACATAGATCTCGAGGAATCAAGGTAAGAGCTTCTTTAGAATTAGAAACCCAATTTCTCATCTCGAAACCTGCGCGAGAGTGGACTTCTACAATATCAGCTACGAGACGAGCTGCTTCATCTGCAGAGTCGACGCTACCCAGGTAATCGTCCATGTAGTGGTTGTTAACTACGGCATCTACGACCATCGGAAATTCTTTTTTATGATCTAATGCGTTTTTATTTTTCAGGTAGAGAGCTGTGCACGGACTGGAGACCGCACCGAAAATCATCGACGACATTCTGTATTCCAAAATCGGTTGGGATGGTTCATTACGCCACAGGAAACGTTGAGCGTCTCTGTCCTCCTTCCGGATTTTAATTTGGGGAAACATTTCCCGAATATCGCCGTTGAGAGCGATGCGGCCTTCACGAAAACGCATCAGAATTGCTAACAGAGGTTGCAGTAAATCGGGACCTGCTAAAAGCATAGAATTGAGGCTAACACCTTCAAAAGTGGCTGCTGCGTCGTGTACAACCCTAAGTTTCTTTTTTTGTGGGTGTACGACGCCGAAATGTGGCAGATACCAAGTGACTTTGGAGGGGTCTGCAGGTTCTGTGCATATTTCTGCGTAACCCTTGACAATGTTGGCATTTATCTGTTGCCTATATGATTCTGCAAGCGACTTATCACCTATGAGTTTTCGTTCTAGGCTTTTAAAGCGGGACAAGGCAAGTTTATAATTATTGGGGACATCTTTTAAGTTGTCTCGCCATAGGAGACCTGTTTCAAATCGCCCTGAAGGAAGACGAGTAGTGGTGGACTCTAGTAAATCTAACGCTCTTTGCTCAGTAGGGGTGCGATAATCTTTAGCTACAATGCCTATAGAATCTAGTTTGTAATCTTCTTTTATGAGATTTTCTAACGATTCATAGCTGTTTGACGGATTTACAGTTGTGGAAATGGTATGGTTTACGAACTCGATTGGTTTGGTTTTACTCGAGCTGAAACCGAAAAGGACCCAACCAAGAGGGGTGAGACCGGCTACAGGCTGAGACTTAGAGCTCTGGCGGATCTCTGTGGGCAGGGTGAGGTTCCAGTTGTCGATACCAATTAAAAGCATCGGTTTAGCATGTTCATAACATATAAAATCGACCAAATCAGATAAATAATGTAAACCTTTAACAAACTCGCGATCAATATGTTGTGGACCAAGGTTCAGGTTAGGAATAGAACGAACATTTTCTAAAGAATGCCACTCCGTACTATAACGTCCCTTGATTGTGATGTCGACTAGGGATATATCGGACTCAGTTGACATACCTCCTATACCATCGATCTTAATATGGCTTCTTCGTCCCTTTGCACCTATGGCGGACGCTACTGACGAGTCTAATAGGGTGGCTGTAGAGCCATCATCTAGCAAGGCAAAAGTATCGAAAGTACCTTTAGGGCCGGCTACTGTGACGGGAACTACCTTCAGTAGTGGACGCTGGGACGTAGGGAGCGATCGACTGTGGGTGACGGTTGCAGACGAACTCGGCGCTGTATCGTCACTCGATGGACTTGTCGTTTTGAGTCTTTGTTGGTGAGGTGGTTCTGTGGAGTAGGGAGTTATGGCTTAATCTACTCTTACACCCTTTCACCTGACAATGCTTAAGCGTACAGCGGCGAAAGAAATGGGGATTGCTTTGGAGGCATTTGTAACAGACTTTGTTAGCAATGACCCACTTCCATCGATCTTCTACTGTAGCTAAACTAAACTCTTTACATGTTTCAATGTTGTGAGACTTTGAGCAATAAGGACAAATAGCAACTTTGTCTATGGTACTATGACATGACGTCAGTGGATGACATTGACGTTTGGGCGGTTCGGGCTTTACTTGTTCAGAATAGGTTCCATACCGAACACGTAATTCCGCCTCGAGCATAAGAAATTCGGACAGTAGTTCGAGTCGAAACTTGTCCAGAGTCTCTTTGCTTGCTGCATAGTCTGCCCAACGGATCCTGAGTAATGGCGTAAATTTTGTTAAGATCTCGTTGGCCAAATCGGGTGACGCCAAATACTCTGGTCGGTTGAGCAGTCGCACGACTTCCGTGCATCTGCGTACTTTGCAAGCAAAAAGATTGAGTTCCTTCATGCTCTCATTATTACTTATTTTTGGGAGAGCTCGCATTGCCGAGATCTCTGAAAGTATTATGAATTCGGGTCTAGCAAAGAATACCTCAAGAGCATGAATGACCTCACGAGGGTCGCGCGTGGCCGCTAGCAGTATAGCTACGTGATCGCGCGCGGCCCCACGGAGACTAGCATTGAGCCTCGCCAAGTTCTCCGTTGGTGTTAGCGCCGGGCTGGACTTATCATATGACTTTTTAAATATAAGCCAATCCGTCGCGCGACCATCGAAGAGTGGGAGCGGTGCACTTACCTTGGATGATTGGGCCGCTTTTATAGCGACGTCAGCGACTGCTCGAGCAAGGTGTAGAGTGTGGTGGTTTTCTATGCTTTTATTTGTGATACAATTATGCGTATGTGTGCCTATGGTGTTGTTTTGTGGTATGTACGGGTCCGTCACAATGGGGTGGGCCGAGAAGTGCCCACTATGGGCCGCCTGCTCCTGTGGCACGGCCTTGAAGGCAGCACCGTGAGGGCCCTCCATGGGCATCGGCACTGCAGGCCCTGCAGGTACTGCATCGCATGCAGCAGGAATGGCAGGTGGACTGGATGGGTTCTGAGTCTCCGGCGCGCAGTTTGTTGCTATATCTTCTCTCGGGGCTGATGCGCAGTTCTTGGATGTCGTAGCGAAGTTAGCGTCCAGCCAGTTCTCTATTGAGTTCCTGGAGCTACGGCGGCTAGAACGACTATTTAGTGCTGCTATCTGGGCACGCATTTCTGCTTCAGAAGCAGCGCGTTCTGCGGCAAGCGCTCGCTGCTGTGCCTCGCGTTCGGCAGCTAAGGATCTACGTTCGGCTTCGGCAACGCGACGTGCATGATCTGCTTCTATTGCTAGCCTCTCTGCTTGCACGGCGCTTGTTGATGAGCGATCAGAAGGTGCACTTTTTGCGGAGGTTCGCTTTGTCATGCTCCGAGTTAGCATTTTTATGAAATTGGACTAGTACTTACGTAGTGAAAATAATATACAACACAGTTTTGCACTAATATATCGATAATAATATTAAATTATTTTGTGTAGGCGAAGATTTTTATAATTTTTCAGCTTCTGACACCAGATGTTGTTGTCTGTCACAATGTTTATTTGATATTAAAGTTCTGTATACAAAAAATATATAATAAAATTCTTTAGAAAAATACAATATATGAAGTATAAAAGTATATGGCCAGTACGTCAGCAACAAATATATTTAAAAAAAAGACATACAATTGGCTACTGCCATTCTTGATCCTCTGTAAATTTACTCTCACATCTCATTGAACAAAAAAATATCATCTATTTCGGAAGACTATGATGTTATGCTTCTATACATTTTTGTGAGAACTGTCAGAAAAAGGCTCACATCGTTATAGCGCAGTTTATAAATTGGGAAAATATCAAACTGTACAAATAAGTCGACTGTTATTTTTAAGTCAATTGAAAACTACATATAAAATAATAGTAACTATCGCATACAATGTGAATGTAAGACTTATTAGAGCTAAGCTTAGTTCAGTATTAATAGTGGGCAGCCGCAGTGAGACGGTCAGTGGATTTGGCGCGCACAATATTGATGGATATTCCCTTTCCCGCTACGTTATTGCTTCCTTAATGGATATAGATTGATCTATTCTTGAGAATAACCTTTGTATTTTCTGTATTTCAACGTTGCTCGAGTTTAAGTTAAAATTTTATGCTCTAACTTCTACCTAAGTATTAGAGGCTTCTATATTATTCTTATGATAGATAAAAGACAACTTCGTAAATACTTTATTATATATAAAATTTTCTATTACACTTCGTTTTATTTTGAAAGAAAAAATATCCTATAATATCCCGCGATAAATACTTATTTAAATTTTACTTCAATATTTTTTTATAATGACCAACTTCATTTCCTCTATAAAAGCAATTGAAGTATAATTTCGTATCTATTTTGCAAACTGTTACCAAAATAAAATAAAATAAAGTATCAAGTTCAGTTTTTTATGTATCTCCAATATTTACAAATCTTTTATTACTTTATTGTTTATTTTGGTCACGTATTTCGTTGTCATGTGTTAATTATCTTCTGAACTTATTATTTTAAAAATTCCCGACTGTAGTCAAAGACAATGAATCTGAAAGTAAATCTTAGACAAACAATAGAACTCGTCTAGACTTTAACATTTAGAGTACTTTTCAATTTTACGCATTCAATAAAATTACTGAAAGTTGGACTTTGAATTGTTAATACTTGCTGATTAGTTTTTGTGAGTGTAGTTACGTCTATTTACATTTTCTGAAGCCAACCAATAGCTTAATCAGCGACCTGCTTAAGTTTACTCAGTCTAAATAATACACAGTCAAACATTACTCGCTCTAGTTAATTTTGTCGCTGGCGTAACCATACATTACGTAGTCCGACCGATTCAAATCGACCTACCACCCCCGTCTCTTTTCTATTGTAATATGTTCTCGGGGATGGATGAATATGAATAAAGACGGGTCATGTATACTGGTCTAAATTCGTAGTGATGTTTAGGCATCTAATACACTTGGTAAACAAGCTTCGTGATCCGCTTACACAATAAGCATAGTTTTGGATACGTATAATTATTAAATTCTATTAATTAATAATCACAATAAAATATATATCATGTAGGTTATACTTCATAGAGTTGATCTCAGGGTATGATGGTAATTATGTCCTTGGACATCTTAAACGGATTTTCTTGATTTTTGTATTGATATTAAAAATAGAATTAACAAAATATGAGGAAATAATATATAAAAGTATTGTTATTGTTTAGTATTGCACATAAAGACTTTTTTGTAAATTTATATCTAAGGAATATTGATTAACTTAAAAGTACGTGAAGTATAGAAATGACTTACGTTTTTTTTTAAATTGTGCCATAAATAAACGTAAAATACATCAGAAATAAACAAGTAAAATAATTCATTTTACTGACCAATGACATGGAATGGACAATGATATTAGATGGACAATTCATGTCAATGATTTACGGAATAATTCATAATGTGGTAAAACTAAAAGACTATTTTCCCACCAATTTCTAAAATTACCTAATCTGACCCGTTTGGACTTCTAACTATGAGGTTATTTTAAGTCTCTGGTATATGCAAATCACGTCAGACTCTGGCAGCATTATAAATACATATATTGCCGAATACGTTGTGACAAGTTATTCAAAATGTCATAAATAGGGCTGAAATTGGTATCAACTTTGGAGTTATACTATTTAAGTGACATTATATTGAAATCCTATTAATAAGAAATTTCTTATTCCAAGAGTAGAACTTTTCTGTATATACAGAAAAAAATTGTCTCTGTGAGGGTTGATTAACAGACAAACCTCACAATGACTAAAAATTCTAAAATAAATTTATTTAGTCTGTGGAAGTTGAAACCGAGGTGCGAATATTACCAGATTAAATCTGAAATAGACAGGGATTATCTTTAACAAAACATCAAAATGTATTTTGGCAGATAGCCGTATTCTATAAACTAATTGTTGGCTTAACAATAACCCTTAGATATATTTTGTGAATTTATCCCGTTTAATTCGTAAAGTAGCTTCAATAATATAAATCTGTGGAAGAAAATGATATTGGAACGAGTCCAAAAATAATAATAATAATGAATAAAAATTCTGAACGAATACCTTTTTCTATCTCTTTAATGTTATTACAAATTAATTCTTACCATCCATTGAGAGTTGAAATAATGAGATATTTGATCATAAAGGTTTTAATAAGAACTCTAAATGAAAGGATTATTATATCAAAATGAAAATATTTACATTACATATGTAAGTTGGTTTCTTTACTAACCGTTGTATACTTCTATTAGCTGGTAGGTTTTATTTGGATAGCTATAGGATCGGTATAGGATAGATATAGCTGCAATCGTAATCTTTCTTTTTCTTATTTGTTATATATATATATATATATATATATATATATAATTAAAATAATCAATCAATCAAAACACCTAGTAAATTATCACCGATCACATAGCACATAGGTACATAAAAATATGTTTCAATAGAAAACCACTTCTTATTTCAAGTCGGTCAAAATTATACCTGAAACTAAAAAACGATTGGCCCACCGTCTGTTGTACAACATAATATTGCAGTAATAAATCCCGAACTGGAGATAGCAGGAGAGAAAATATAAATAAAATGAGCTTGTTTTGACATCTTGCAAAAGTAGCCTTATTTCAGAGTCACAGCTGTCTTGTAATATTAAAATGTATGCTAACTTGACTCTCTAATGACCGCAAGATTTAAATCTAAAGAAATACTTTTGTTTCAGACTTAAATAAGAAAAGTTTTTTGTTTTTCTTTTTTGTTTCGCCAGTTACAAAGAATGCGAATTCGGTATAAATTATTATAAGCAAAATGTATTTTGATTTACGCATAAACATTTTTGGTGTATTTTTTTATATTTATGTTTAGTATTTTTAGAGAATAAAAGATATACTTATTATATTTTATTAGCCTGTGTTTAGCTGTGGGCGTCAAGTATACAAATTACTACTACGTGAGACATTCACGATGGCTTTGAACGAAACATTTATAGAAATCATAGAAACGAAACGGCATTTCTAGAACAAACATATCAACTGTCATCCCCATCCTAATTTTAGTTGTACGTGATTATTATCATTAAAAAATTACTACCTCAAATTCTAAACAAAAAATGCAAAGCGCAACCATAGTACGGAAACGGAAGTATTATTATTATTAATTTTATAAAAAAAACTTGACGCAATAAAGTAACACTGCTATTAGTTTATAATTTTTACAGCTTATATTTGCTTTGCTAGCATATCTCATATAATATGTATCGTAGTTTTCCCGTGAACTCTTAATTTTGTTATTTCAGACAGTAATATACTATCCCCTATTTTAAATGAATATAGGTAATACTACTAAGTAATATATATAATTTACCATGACAGAGTTTTACCATCTCCTAAAAATGTATAAATATTATCAATTTATAAGTATAGTAAGAATAACACAGACGTGATAATGTTTGAACTCCAAAGATGGACATAGTTTAACTGTTATCTCAGAAAACCTAAGTCTGGGTAACAACTAGTTTCCGAGTTAATTGTTCTTTACTCTAATCTAATAATAATGTTTTAGTTGGTAATTTTTATATTTACATCTGAATTTTCACTTAACACTTATTTACTGTATCACAGGCTTTGTTTTATTATAGTTATTATTGACTAGATTTTTAGATGCAACTATTGCGTTTAATAAACTGGGTTTGTTACTTCACCTCCACCGGCACAAATTATGAATATTGATTCTCCTCGGAATGTATTTTTTCCTTACCAACCGCCATTACCTCAAGACTGACTGCCACTTTTCTTACAATACTAGCAACCAAACTATTTATTCTGTTAATAAAACAATAATTACTAATAATTCATGACACGACTTAATTGAATGTTGTCGATTTATCATTTATTTAATTACTTAAGATTCACCAACATAAGATATATCAAATCAGTATGTACTTATATGCATGCTTCAATGTATATATGTACTAGCGGTTTTCAAACTGTTTTTATATTTCAGGTAACCATACTGTTTTATGTTACCATGTTAAAAGGTACATATCTAAATGACCTGAATATAAATGATATTAGTAATATTAAATATGACTGTTGTGATATGACAAAGATCGTTAACATTTGATTAATAAGTCCTTATTAATATATTTTTTTCGGTGTACATCTAGCATTCGAAGTCTATGAACAAATGTGTTAAAAGTTACTTCACGGGTAGAGTTTAATTCCCACTACAATCATTGTCTATTTAGCTGGTCTTGATTAATTATCGGATTCCAGCAACAAAACATTTTTTTAATATAAGTAATTATTTATTAATTAATTTCTTTAAAAT